AAGAAAGGAAGGAAGGAAGGAAGGAAGGAAGGAAGGAAGGAAGAAAGGAAGGAAGGAAGGAAGGAAGGAAGGAAGAAAGGAAGGAAGGAAGGAAGGAAGAAAGAAGGAAAGGAAGAAAGAAGGAAAGGAAGAAAGGAAGAAAGAAGGAAAGGAAGAAAGGCTTAAGCATCATACAGTATCAATGGGATTTCTGTATTGCTATCTTGAACAATGTATGATTTTTTAAGAAATTCTCCATAATGATTAACTACATTTGTTTTTATAACTTTGTTTATGGTGATTATTTTGTGTAATACCTAGACTCTTTTGTTATTGGAGAAAGAAAATATGGTAGAAGTCATAATCCAATGACATTGCTATTAACCAAAGAAATCAAAATCCAGCAACAAATTAACATATTTCATTCAACTTCAGTGGCAACTCCCAATCTATTTGTCACAGGAAATTTGAGATGCTGGTCTTTTCTCTATTGTCTTATTTTATATCTTTGCCTCTTCTCATTTACTGTTTGAATTCATCCAGTCCTCCTTTGATAGTTTTACCTTTACTTGCCTTTGTTTCTGAACTCAGGTTGTAGTCATCAAATCAGCACTTTCATTTTTAGTGTTTCAACAGTTAAAAGGGCTAAAAGATTTGAAATCAGGGAGGGTAAATAAAATCCATATAAATACCATCAGTGCTCATCTACACTGTAAACACTACATATTTCCCTCTCTAAGGTGCCTTCTGTTAACTGTGTTAGAATGGAGACTTCCCATCGTTTATAAGAGGGTTTGTTAACCCTGGCACTAATGACAGGTTGACCTGCTCTACCTTTGTTCCTGTGGCGTTTAGAGTGCAGGATTTCAGTATTCTGTACAGTTCAGACATTTAGCAGCATCCATCATCTCACACTCCTCTATAATTATGATAACCAAAATATTTTCAAACATTGCAAAATGTTTCATGGGTAAAGGGTTTAAAATAACATGATGAGAAATTATCAGGAAAAGAAAACCTCACCTCCCATAGAACCAACCTTCAGCAAGAAAACAAGCACTGGCTTTGATCTTATAAACTACACCTTGAGCAGGATTGACTCAGGCAACATTTAGTAATTGGAAAATTTTCCACTAAGTCATTCATGGTCTTATTTCCTCTACCACTAATGCAAAACCTACAGACTTCAAGCATGATGGCAGGATTATCTAGGAATAGGCTCACAAATAGAACTGTCTGGTGACAATTCCCATAAAACTGAGAAATATCATATTGCTTAAAATCTTTGGCCTTTGACTTTACTGCATATTTTTAATACATGTCCAGTCTAAAAACAGCAAGAAAAAAGTACATGCATTTTTATACAGATTGAATTTTTTCAAGACTGAAAGAAAGTACAAAGTTGGTTAAATATGTATGCCTTAAAAATAACCTCCTCTGTCAGTACTGTAGACATGTACATTTCTTTGAAAAAAATAAAGTCCCGATATGTCCTACATTGGGAACCTGAATTATTTTTTCAGAATTTTATGTGGTGTTGGTGGTTCATGTTTGTAATCCTAGTTACTTGTGAGGCTGAAATCTGAGGTTTACAATTCAAAGCAACCAGAGTGCACAAATATGAGAAACTCAAATGGTAGAGTTCAGGCCTTGAGTGAAAAAGTCAAGGAAGAGAGAAAGGTCCTGAATTTGAGAGCCCGAACTGGCAAATAACTATCTCTAAATCCCATTTCCTTTTCTAAATCATGAGCACATTACAATCCTCATTGCTAACAATTAGAAACCATCTTTATATTAAAAAATCTCAGGTACTGAGAATGTTTTGGAAAAGACTGATCATATATGCTTCGAGTTAAGGCAAATAGATGACTTTATCCATTTTATTTTTAGTAATATGAAGAAATGATATAGACAGACAAAGACTGATGGGGGCGGGCTGTCGGGAGAAAGTGAGACCAGAGACCTTAATAAAAGCACTAGTCATATTAAAACAGAACCAAACCTGACTTAATAGTTGCATGAAAGTCATTAAATTAGAACTTTCTTAGCCTTAAGAAGCTTAATTTAAACTAATGGAAATGCATATATATTCACATGCTCATCCACTTTTTTCCAAAACAAGGTTGTAAGACGCACTGAGTTTATAACTTTTTTGGGGGGGGGGTCCGGTTGTGGGGCCTGAACTCTGGGCCTGGGCGCTGGCCCTCAGCTCTTCAGCTCAAGGCTAGCACTCTACCACTTGAGCCATAGCGCCACTTCCGTTTTTTTTCTTTTTGCTGATGTGGTGCTGGGGAATCGAATCCAGGGCCTCAGGCATGCAAGGCAAGCACTCTACCACTGAGCCACCTTCCCAGCCCGAGTTTATAACTTTAAATAGTTTATTTACTCAAAGAAATATCATAAATTGAATCCAAATGGATCTGATTCTAAAAGGATATGACTTACCCAGGGAGGCAAGACAAAAGATGTTCTCACAAGCAGACCTGGATACTTAAAAGTACTCATTTTATTAATATTTTGAGCTAATATAAAAATCTCTGTAAAATGCAAGAAAGCCAAATTTCATTGATTTTTTGATTAATTCTAAATATATAGACGTTTTTGAGCCCAGCAGGAAGTTTCACTACGTTAAATCCCACTCAATAATACATATTGCTTCCTCCCCACAAATGTCTGCTAATACAGACAGTCCTGAGATGCAAAGAGAAACACTATGGTATAGTCTCATATCTTTTGATATTTTTTTCAGTAGAATATATCTGGTGTATCCATGTTATCATGTTGTAGCTGTCAGAAACTCATTTTTGTAGATTTCCAAGTACCTCTCCCTACGTAATTTTGTGTTGGACAGTTAAATAAGTTATTGGATTATTGAAATAAAACTAGAGTAAACATTTTATCCAAGTATTTGTGAACTTCCATATAGATGGACACACACTGTGTACGTGTGTGTGTTGTGTGTGTGTGTTGTGTGTGTTCTGTTATTTCCCTGCGAATAATTTTAATTTTCTTACAGGAACACAAATATATTTCAGATGTGATGTTTGGACACATATTTATTCATTTCTACTATCCTAGAGTTAATATTATTTTGTATAATAATGGAAATTGGAGAATGTAAAATAGCTACTTGTTATAACTGCTTATATATAACAATGGTCATTAAACAAACTGAATTGTATAAAATATTCTAAACTTTTCTTCTTTTATTTTAATAGCCAAAAAGTAAACTTTGGATCATATGATAATTATATTCCAGGTGAGATGTTTAATATTTATGTTAAAACATGAATAGTGACTTTCAGAATTATTAGTGGTCATGGAATACACTGCATGGTAGATATTTTCCTTCCAAAAGATCTTTTCTTCTGGATTCAGTGAATATTTTCTATATCTATATACTTTTGGTTTTAAATCTAAGTAAAATTAAGCAAATAGATTCAGTAACATACAGATTGTTCTTCTATTTCAAACAGTGTAGAAACTTGATACACAGCCTCTCACCCCACTTCTCATACTGGATTTTGGGTAGATGCATCCAATATAACTGGCAGCAACATTTCCTTAAAAGATAAGCCAAATATTTTGGTGAACAAATGCTTTTCCCTCATATATTGAGCTTAAAGAATTTAAGTTGTAAATTTTTATTTACAGCTATAAATTTTATTATGTAAGTGTTATTATTTTTTCATTCTGTAAGTTGTTTATACTGTTTCAATATTGTATTTAGGAGATTCATAAGTAAAGTATATTCTCTTGAACAAATCATAGCTTTCTCTATTGCCTTGTTCCTAACATAAATAGCGTTTTGATTTTGGGGGTGGGGGGGTCAGGTAACTTTTTCCAAAGTAACTACATCCTTATGGTCACCATTCTATAGATGTTTTGTCAACTTCTTTTTTCTTTCTTTTACATTTACTCGCAAATACCCTTGGCATTAATACTTACTTGAATTTTAATCATTTTAATACTTTTTAAATGGGCTTGTTTTTCTTTTATAATTCCTTACTTTTTATGTTTTTTTCTGAACTTCAAGAGGTTATACAAGGAGCTTACAAATTAATGTGTTCCTGAAAGTGCTCAGTGACTCTTGATCAGTCACCCCTTCCATTATTTTCCTCCATCCTACCTGCCCCTTCCCCCCAGATTAATTTCACATTTTCTACTTCCTTTATTATAAATGTACACTGATTACTCTTATTATATTTGTCTCCTGTTTCTTTTTCCATTCATGTATTCTCCCTCTCTGTCTCTCTAGTCCTTCTTAAAATCTGACATTCAGTTTTTGAAACTTTCAATAATTGGTCAAAAAGCTTACTCCATAAAATTTTACTCCTGTGTATATACACAAAAGTCAACTAAACCACACATATATAATACACACACATATATATTCATATATATACATATATAAGCATATAACTCTCTGTGTTATTCTATGGGGGTTGCATTTGGGGACTGAAATCCACTTTTGCAAGAGAATATATACCCTTGGTTTCCTGTGTCTGGCTTAGTTCACTCAGTATATGTTATTTTTCAGAACTATCCATTTTCCTGCAAATGATCAAATTTCATTTCATTCTTTCTGATGATTGCATACAATTCCATTGTACACTTACAGACATATTATATATATATACATGTATTTGTGTATATACACATATATACACATGCATATACATACACATTGCAAATAACCTGGCCATTGTTAACTGTGTTATGATGAACTTGGGTGTGTAGGACCTTTTGTTGTATACTGATGTGGAATCATTTGCATAAAGGGCCACAAGTGGTATCACTGGATTACAGGGTAACTTTATGCTTAGTCTTTTGAAGAATATTCATACTAGTAGTACTAGTTTATATTCTCACCGATATATATGAGCCTATCTTTCTCTTCATTCTTGCCAGCATTTGTTACGGTTGGTTTTCTTGATGATGGCCATTCTTGCTGGGTTAAGATGGAATCAATGATTTTTATAGCATGTCACCAGTAAAAATGCGGTTCCTGTGTATACAGGATTTACACCTTTATAGCATGGAAAACAAATGTTAACTAAATGTCACAGTACTTAGATTCAATCACATATTACTCACTATTTTGTGCTAGGCAATTTGAAGCAATTTGAGAAATACAAAAGAAGTTAACATATTTTGTGTTCTAACCAAAAGAACATATAGTACACTCTAGACTGGAAGAGAGAGTCATAAAAGGAAGTAGGACTAATATTTCTTCACATTTGTATTACGGATTACATTAGTTTTATGATGACTATATAAGTTTGTCAAATTTTATAAAAAATAATTTTTCTTTTGTTATGCTTATCACACAGAATCTTTAACATTAGTATGTAAATTAAGCTGTAATTCGAATAACTTATGTGCATGATATGTATTATACTTACTGGCATTTTCAACTTTGATAAACTTCTATTTACCGAAAGCACATTTTATCTCCCACATTTCAGTCAGTGAATTAAGTAAAAAATCATGGAATCAACAACATTTTGCCTTGGCATTTCCCAAACCACCTCGCCCAGGAAAAAAAAAGAGATCAATACCTTCCCAACAAAGTGACAGTCCAGCTCCTGTAAGTGTTGAAAACATTATTTGCCTACTAATACTAGTTTAATTTCTTACTAGCAATGAGCCTATGAAATCATGTGCAAATCTAAGTATAAAGTATCGAACTATCTAAGTATCTAAGTCTAAATCAGAGCTTAGTAAGGTTTCAGTGTTGGTGAATAGAGGATAGGCATCTGCATGTCAAAGAGACTATCAACACTGGAAACCAGCCTACTACAAAGGAAGAGTTAAAGTTTACATATCAGAAACATTTCAATTTAAGTAAAGATCACATATGGCTGCTCCCTTAGCCAGGATATTTAAAAACAATTAAAAAATAATTCTAATGCTACTAATTGGAAGAAACTGTATCCATTTTGTTTGCATTTCTTTGTATCGCTTTTCTCATGTTAACTATGTTCAGCAGCCTTGCATTGTATAAAAAGGTGTTTAAGAACCATGGGAACTGAATACTCTAACTTACAGTTTATATGAATATTCAGGAATAGTTCACCAGAGACAGAAACTCCCTTAGTGAAGTTATCTAGTTGTATTGTGGCTTGTAGATTACCTCCCATAATATTGGAATTCAGGAGTCTGAAAAGCGGAATAAAAACAATTTCTCAGTAGTTCCTGAGATATCATGGAAAAGATGTATAAAGATATGTCCTCCCCTACTTAAAAGCATCACCAATTATTTTTTATTTTAGGAAATTAATCCAAACACTGGTGATTAGTATTCTTTTCCTTTCTAATTATTTATCTTTGTATTTTTGACACTTGTAGTAAAATTAGCTATTTTGATCATTTGATTTTTGCAAATAATTAGTTAAAAGATGAAAAACTGTGTCATCCCAAGCTTTGAAAAATACATATTTCTAATTTCAATTATCCACATCGTGATATATGATTTATAACTAATCAAACAGAAGGAATTGCAAACTTTTTCATGTAACTACAGGTGTAACCCTAATTTCCAGACAAGTTAAAAATGAGAATACAGATCAGAATATGTCTTAAACTGAAACTGCTAAGTCTTTGAACATAATTAATTTATGAATTACTTTAGAAATAAAGGAAAAAACTAGACATTTCAAGATTTATCAGTAGCAGGGTAAAAAAAAAACAGAATAGCCTCTCGAACATGGAGAGATTTTGATAAGTCATGACACCATGAGAATCTTTAACAATTTTAACATAGAACTTTTAGGAAATTTGGTAATTCTCTAAATTGAATATAGGTACCAAAGGATGCATCTATTAGTTTAACAATGCTCAATTTTAAAAAATAAGCATATATAAATGATATAAATTATCCACCTTTTCTTAAAAATCTAGTCTATGTGAAGGGCTAAAGTCAATTTGTTGTGTGTTAGGAAAGATTATTTAAAACAATTTTCTCATCATTAGTTTGACAAACATTTCAGGTAATTGATGAAGGAAGATTGGGAATGCATAGACCACCCTTATGGATGCACCGTTCTTTAATGAGAATTTCCGAAAGACCATCTGTTTATTTAGCTGCCAGGAGGAGGCCTCCCCAGAAACCATCTCAGTCCTCCATGGGTGATTCTAAAGATTCAAAAACATCTTTCTCTCCAGTAGTCAACAAGAAAGCACAGAAAGGGAAATCCGATTCCGAATCAGAGCCCAAAGTGAAGACGGCAGAACTAAAGAAGGGCAGAGATTCATCCACAGGCTCTGAAGATGAGAAGGCTGCCGTAAAGAAGGGCTCCAAGAAAGTGAAAAAGGATGCAAATGGCAAAGACTCCACGACAGGATCCGAAGATGACAAAGCTGCCGTAAAGAAGGGCGCCAAGAAGGCCAAAAAGGATGCAAAGGGCAAAGACTCCACGACAGGCTCCGAGGACGAAAAAGCTGCCTTGAAGAAGGGCGCCAAGAAAGACAAGAAGGATGCAAAGAGCAAAGAGTCCACGACAGGCTCCGAGGACGAGAAGGCCGCCTTGAAGAAGGGCTCCCAGAAAAATGCCAAAGGTGGGAAGAAGAGCAAAGAGAGAAACACAGAGTCTGAAGGAGAAAAGGGAGGTGATAAAAAGGGTAAGAAAGATCTAAAGGACAAAAAACATAAAAAGGATGAAAAGAAGAGAGGGAGTGGAGACAATGAGTCAAAGGATGTCATCAAGAAAGACAGCAAGAAAGAAAACAGGAAAGGCAGCAAGAAAGAAGGCAAGAAACACCCCAAGAAAGACAGTGACACCGAATCTGCTGAGTCCAAGAAGGGTGGAAAGAAAGGCAAATAGACCTTGGACAAAAGAGGAATAGGAAAGCGAAATTGAATCACACTATAAAAGAAGGATCAGATATTTTTTAACAACAAGACGTATTCTAAAACATTTTAACACACAAGAAAGATCTTGAGAAAATTAAAGGAATATCCATTGAAATATCTGGAATAAATTTTCAGATGCAGTATAAGATCTCTAAAGATTAAAGAATATTCAAATAACTGTGTAGGACATAATGAAATTAAACATATGGATACAAAAGTAACGTTCAAAGAAAATGATGTTCAGTAAGAACTTTGAAAATCCAGGAAGCAGATGCTGAATCTCTAAAATTTAAAAAAAAAAATCTTCAAGCTGCATCCGCAAACTTAAGCAAAGAAGAACAGGAGTCATGGAACCGCTTTCAGAAAATCTAAAGTGAATAATAAAGATAACTTTTGGGGAAAAAAAAAAGAAAGGGAGGAAGGAAGATGGAAGGAAGGAAGGAAAGAAAGAAGGAAAGGAGGGAAGAAGGAAGGAAGGGAGGAAAAAGACTAGAAAAGGAAAAGAAAGAAAAAGGAATTGCTTTCTTTCCTTGAGTCCACAAGATTTAAAGAACCACAAAATGTCTGGCTTACAAATCAAGATGAACATACTTGGTAAGTTAGTTTTGTCTTATTTTAAGCCAAATGGAATGAATAAAATAAAATATGAATCCATTACAAAATTTAATTGATGCTTACTATTCTGATAATTGCTCTGTAATTGACTAATTAAAATAATTGTTCAAATTTTTATCAAGTTTAGGCAAACTCATAACAAAAAATGTTTGACTACAGAGAGATCATTAAGTAAATTAAGCCCTAAATGATGTCCATTAAAAGATAAAGAAATAGGAAACTATTTTGGCTGCAGAATATACTATCTTATGATAAACACTTCTAAAAAGAGATTGTGAATATGTTTATTAGGAAAAGTAACTACATTCTCTACACTTTAGGAAGAATAAAAATTAAAAAATGAAAACTCACAATAATTGTGCATAAGTGTGTTTCCAAATGAAGGGATTTTATATGTCCCTTCTTCATATAGGAGAAAATATATACCTTTTGTCTCTCTGAGCCTGACTTATTTAATATAATCGTCTAAGGCCCAGAATTTCCCTGAAAGTGACATAATACTATTACTCCTGAAGAATGAATAAATTAAAATTTCTGATGGAATTATATTTATAATAACCACTCAATTTACAATTTATATTCAATTTGTAATTCATGTATAATTCTATACAATAGAATTGAATTTATATATTAAATCCAATTTACATACCAATTTTCTTGACTCATGTTTCAATTGTAGGGCATCTCTTAGTTTGTGTGTGTGTGTGTGTGTGTGTGTGTGTGTGTGTGTGTGTGTATTCTGATGAGTACTGCAGCAATGATCATATGTATGCAGATGTCTCTACTGGATTCTGATTTTTAATATTTGGATAAATTCTCAGTAGGATTATTACTAGGTAATAAGGTAGTTCTATTTATAATTCTTTGTGGAATTTTCACACTGCCTGATGTAATGTTTGTACTAATTTACCTTTCTATCAAAAATATAATAAGCATCCTTTCACGCATATCCACACCAGCATTCCTTGTTGATAATATTCTTGATGTTGGCTGTGATTACTGGATAAGATAAATTTTTCACTGTTTTGATTTGCATTTGCTTTGTAGCTAAAGGTTTTGCGTATTTCTTCATATGTGTATTGGCCACTTTATGTCTTCTTTTTCTTTCTTTTCTTTTCTTTTTTCTTTTTTTGCCAGTTCTGGGGCTTGAACTCAGGGCCTGGGCACTGTCCCTGAGCCTCTCTGTGCTCAAGGCTAGAGCTCTACCACTTGAGCCACAGCGCCACTTCCGGCTTTTTCTGTTTATGTGGTGCTGAGGAATTGAACCCAGGGTTTCATGCATGCAAGGCAAGCACTCTACCCCTGAGCTACCTTCCTAGCCCCCACTTTATGTCTTCAGAGAAGAGCTATTTAGCTCCTCTGCCCATTTATTAATTTCCTTTGGTCCCATGGAAAGTTTGTTCTTATTAATATTCTGCAAGCAATTTTCCCACAATTATTCCTCAGAATTCTTACTTAATTCACATAATAAATATACAGTTATTAAAAAGAAAACCAACTACTTCATGAATCATTTTAGATGCTTATTAGCACTTAATTTCTATTTTTATGAATAACTTTTCAATTATTTGTCAACCTATAATTTGTCATTTATACGTGAATTGCAGAAAGTTCATGGCCCAGAATGGTTAGTGCATGCCTGTAATCCTAGTTATGGAGGAGACAGGAGGGAGGACTGCTTTGTAGGACAAATCCAAAAACAATTGATGAAGCACTCCTTGAAAAATATCCTAAGGAAACAATGGCCAAAGCCATGTTTCTGAAGTAGAGTGCTAGGCTCTAAGAACAAACCACAAGACTGCCAATAAAGACATTTTATAATGATATCCTTGATTTGTCTTATTTTAAGGAGAGAAGAGAAGAGGGAGGGCAAAGCTGTTCCTTGACATGAAGGTAATTATTTTTCTTTCTCTACAATGACATCCATCTTTATTTAGACTGTATTTTGAACTTAGAAAAGGCAATTGAAGAAGCTGGGCCTACAAAGTTCATATCCAATAGAGTTAAATTCCATCTCAAATGATAAATTTAGATTGATACATTTAAGTATCTAATTTCATAGTCTGCCTATTTATAGACTCATAAGTAAGTAAAATTAATTTTTACCCTTCTACATAAGAGCAATTAAGGATTTTAGCTTTTGAATAGTTCAGAAGACAATGTAAAAAATTTTAAGCTTTTGCAGTTAGCTGTTTATTTCTTCTTTTTTATACCAGACATTAAACTCGTCCATAAATATTCCTGTGATTGCCTAAAATTGTACTACTTGCCAAACAATCTATAACCTATAGCACAGGTCTTAGAATTCTTTTCAAAGCTATATTTTGTAATCTAAAATGGGTATATACATAGAGAGATTTACATATAGAGAGATATAGATTATATATATACATACAAACATGATATATATTAAATATACACATTTACTCATATAAGAGCTTGTATACAAGCAGAGCTAATTTATTTCAAAGAAGAAAGAGTATGAGAGCATACAAATTATGCTTATTCAAATTCCACTGTAGTATTTTTATTTTATTTTACATGTTACATTTACTTACATAAATTTATATAAATTAGGACCTGGATGGACTAAAATGTAAATGAAATAAGGAGTTTTAACGTCTTACTAAGGAAATCATACAGAATATTTTTATGAATTGTTTTAAAGCATTAATGACCTTGAGAACTGTTCGATTCTCTTGGATTTTTTGAATATTTTTATTATCTTTGGAGTAATACAAAGGTGTTGCCATTCACCAAAGCAGTTTATGAATGCAGTACATCTTGATCCCTGTCACTCTTTCCACATTCTGGCCCATCCCTCCCACACCACCTCCTCCCTCTTCTTTATTTTAGGCTATGCATTGAATGTTTTGCAATTCAACAAAGCAGGTTATGGGTACAATGCATTTCAGTCTGGATCACCATGTCAACATCTTCACTTCAACCCACCCCTTAACCTTGAGTTCTTGCTCTTCCATACCTCTCCCCTTGCCCCCACCCTTCTCAATTTCTATAACCCATTTCCTAGTACTTATTTTGTTGAGCTTTAACTTTGTCTTTTTTTTTCTTTTTTTTTTGGTCAGTTGTGGGGCTTGAATTCTGGGCCTGAGTGCAGTCCCTGAGCCTCATTGTGCCAAGGCTAAAGCAACAGTGCCGCTTCTGGTTTTTGAGTGGTTAATTGGAGATAAGAGTCTCACAGGGGATGTTTCTGCCTGGGTTGGCTTGGAACTGCAATCCTCTGATCTCAGCCTTCTGAGTAGCTAGGATTACAGGCATGAGCCACTGGGTCCGGAGTGACTTTTTAGTCTTTTTAAAGAATTATACTATTTGTACTCTCCATAGAGTCTATTAAAATTATTAATTCCTTTTAACTCCTTTCTTACCATCCAGTGTGTTTACTTAAAAATTTATAGGCATATTCTAGCTACCACAAATGAGGGAAACCATGCATCCTGTGTTTCCCTAAGTCTGGCTTACTTCATTTAATGTAATTTTTTCCCCAAATCTTTAAATTTCCAAATGAATGGTGCAATATCATTCTTTCTGATGGATGAGTAGAACTTTATTGTGTATTTATATATCACAGTTTCTTGATTCATTTGTCCCTTGAGGAGCATCTGGGCCGATTCTGTATCTTGGCTATTGTAAGTAATGCTGTAATGAACATGGTTTTGTTGGTAGCTTTACATATTTCCCAGCTTCCCTGGTATTGTAGTTACTTTTTCGGTTAGGCCCATGGATATGTTATAAATTAAACTCAAAATTACACATTAAGTTTCATGAAAGGGTTTTTTATAATGATGTCTTATAATATGAATATTATCATTGTTAAAGTGACAAGATTTTAAAATAAAAAATGATAAAGTTGAAATGTTAGTTTAATGAAATAGTATATGACATGTTATGAATTATTTGTATAGCTAAGACAGATGCTGCTAATGGCCAAGTATTTACTCTTAGTGAGACAAAGGGCAGATCAAAGGAGGCTGAAGTTGTTAAAGGGATGACACAGATCAAGATACATTATATACATAAATTGCTTTGTTAAATAGCAAAAAGAAAAGCTAGGGAAGGGTTGGAATGGGAATTTTGAAAGGTATGATGTTGAGCAAGATGCATTGTATTCATGAACTTGTATACAACTACTTAAATATAAAAATATTAACAAAAATTTAAAAAAATGGATTCTGAATTCTGGCCAATACAAATATAGGAGAATAATTACAAGAGGTAATTAAAATTGCAACTCATGATACGTGAATCTTTGTGGACTACAATGAACCTTTGATAATTAAACAGTGAAGAATGACTCCAAATTATAATTCTTCCAATGATTAAGGAATATTTGGTTTT